GAGTGAGTCCTGGGCTTTGGGCAGCCAGCACGCCAAGTGGCGCTAGGTTCTGCCTGCTGGCCACCCAGCAGCAAGCTCTAGGGTTTTGGGGGTATGTAACTGCTGCCTAGGGACAACCATGGATAAGGCCAATGTACAAGAATGAGAAATGAATCCTATGTGACTCTCAGAGACGGGGTCACTGACCTTGCAAACAAGTAGGGGGACTGAGACCTGGTGGTTTGGAGGGGACAGTCCATAAGATCTGTTTGGGTCAGACTGATTCACCATCCCACATCAGAGTCCTGAGATGGGATGTTAGCACAGAGCATCACTGACTGCCACATGCCAGCCTTCACAAAAGCTAGGGCGGAGGGCCTGTTTGGCAGGGCTAGATACCAGTAGTTGACTGAGTGTCGGAACAGGGGATGGGTCACATTAGGCAGGGTCATGACACTAACCAGAATGCAAGAGAACCAGGTCTGGGGGTAGATTCTGCAGGGCATAAGAGGGCCCAACTCTGTGAAAATACAAGTCCCGCTGGTTAGCTTAAGAGTTGGGGTGGTGATTGGCTGAGCTGGGAGTGACCATAGAACCCGCCAACATTCACGGGCGCTGGGGCTAGAAACAGGCTGGAGAACCCACACGTGCACCCTAAAACAGGGTGTGAGGCAGGCCGGGCCGCAACATCCTCCAACTCATACAAAGGCCAAGATGGAGTGGCAGGCTATGCCGGGCAAGAACCTAACACCTGTTGGAGCATGTGAGATCTGGGTCAGGGAGTGGGGGACCTGGGAAACTCCCCTATTGGGATCACAGCTCCCGCTGGTTAGCACACGTTCCTGGCCTGAGTGTTGGGCAGCCTGAGTAGGATAACTTCAACTCTTGGCTAATGGGTGGGTTGGTTTTGGAGTGGGGCAGACCGGGCAGGGACAAGCCAGGCTTACTTCACCGGCAAGAGCAGCAATCAGGTGGGAGCACAGCTCAAGCTCAGTTAGGTTGTCACACCTACCAGGTTGCACAAGCCAAGGATGGGAGCAGACTGAGCAGGGCCAGGTTCTAGCACCCACCAGCGAGTGGTGAGACTGGGGGGAGGCTGGGTCAGGCCAGGCTACAGCACCTAAGGTGAAGGCCAAATCAGATGAGCGGCTATGCCAAGCTGGGTCAGAGCAACCACTGCCACATGCAAGATCTACAGCTGGGAACAGACCTGGTTGGGGAGCTAAGTGGACACCCTGGCTGGGTTGTGGTTCCCATTGGTAAGCACGGGGCTGGGAAAGGAGCCGCGTTTTGGTCTGGACATGGCTGCAGCGTACCTTGGCACAAATGTGGGCTGGGGCTGGGTGTACCAGATTGGCCTGGACCCCAGCACCCACTGGTGCTTGCGAAGACCAGGGTAGGTGTAGGGCAGGCTATGCTAGGTTTTTGCCCGTGCTAAGCCATGTGTGAGCCGTGTCTGAGTGTGGATCAGACTAGACTGGGCTGTAACACCCAACAATAATAACCGAATGGGCTCAAGGCCAGTCAGGAAAAGCCATTATTCCTGCTAAGTCAGGAGGTGGACTGAGTAGGGCTGGCCCATGGACTCACCTGTGTGCGCGAGATCTGGTATTGGGAGAGGTTCTGATGGAGGAGCCTGGGAAACTTCTCTGTCATGCACAATCCAAGCAGGTGAGAGCAAGAAACACAATAGGGAGTAGCCCAGACCAGGCCAGGGAAAGGTACCCGGCGGCATACATATGGTGCAAGTCGGGGGCAAACCAGGCAGGGCTAGTTCATACAACCCACTAACGAATCTCAACACCAGAATAGAGTATGGGTTGGGCTGGGTTTGGTCGCAACACACACCAGTACACATGAGGGCTTGGACTAGGTGCTGCCGAGGTTGTGCTAAGTTGTAGCCCCCACCAACCTGCGCTAGAATTGGGGAGGGGCCAGGCTGGGCCAGGCTACAGACACTCACTGGCAAAAGCTGAGAAGAGGCAGGCCATGCCAGACCGGGCTGCAGCACTCAACCAGCACACACAAGACCTGGGGCGGCAGGGGAAGGTGAACCTGGTAGGGGGGTGAGGAGGGCTCCCCTGCTGGATCACTATTCCCACTGGAGAGTGTGAACTGGGATGAATGCAAACCAGACCAGGCAGGGCTAAAACACCTGTTGGCCTCATGTGAGCTAAATCAGGGGAAAGCCAGGCTGGGCTGACTATTCCTACTGGTGCATGCATAAGAGAGATCGGGTGTGGGTTGGTTGGGCTCTGCCACAACATAAGCTAGCAGATGGTAACACAGGGGGCTAATTCTATCAAGCCAAACTGCACAACCACCTGGAGAGTGTAAGATCCGGAAGTGAGAGTGGGCCCAGTAGGGAAACAATGGGCACCTCCCTCTTGGGTTGCCACTTCCACTGGTGAGCATGAGAACCAAGACTGGGGCAAGCATGGCTAGACAAGAGAGTGGCACCCGTTGGTATGGGCGTGGGCTGGATAGTGGGGCTGGTTGGGTTGAACTAGGCTTCAGTGCCCATTGACATGTATGAAAGCTGAATGGGATGTGGGACAGACTGGAGCAGTCTGTTGTATATACTAGCAAGCATGAGAACCAGGGCAGCGGCGGGTCTGGTGAGGGTTACTGGGAGTTGCCCCAACTAGGCTGTAGCTCTCTCTGGTTTATGTGGCCAAGTATGTGGTGGGTAGGATCAGGATGGGCTGCAACACCCATTGGTTTGTATAAAAGACAGGGCTGGAGTCAGAACTGATCCAGCAATTGCAACCACCAGCATATGCATAAGCTGAATGGGGCAACGGACTGTGCCGGACCCTGTGCTGGCAGGCACACACAAGAATCAGGTCTGGGATCACTTCAGATGAAATTTCTTTGGGGATAGCCCCAATCACACTGCTGGACTCAGAACCCCAACCATAAAGAGAATTCCAGGTTCCATGGTCTGAGCGTGGTGTGCATGTGTCAAAGCTGAGCCACCTCAGTGACTCAGAGCAGTGGCCAGCATATCCAGGTGCACATGAATATGATAGTACATTGGAGCCTGCAGAGGACACCTGATACCACAACAGAGGACAGAACAAATTGATCAACTACCCCAGCCAAGTGTTGGCAGTGGAAATGGGCAAGTGGAAATGCTAAAATGGAGTATGTCAGCCAGTAAATTCAGAAGAGATTTCACTGTGCTTTGAATGTCGAGATCAATAGCAATTCAGAACAGTTGAATATCAAAACCACTTGAGCAGTGTCCTCGGAGGTGCCCACACTGAGGACCCTAGCATGGTTGGGAGGCTGAGTGTGGCTGCTCCCTTTTGTCTCTCCCCTTCCCCCAGATACAGGAAGAAAAAAAGAGAATGTGGAAACAATTACCCACTTTCCTGTACCTTTTCACTTTCCTTGACCTTCTGAGCCATAATCAACAATGTAAAGATCATCAAAATTTTTAAAATTGAAAAAACAAAACAAAACAAAAAAAAAAAACCATCCTGCTCACAAAGTTTGAGGTTGACTTGGCTGGCTGATTTTTTTAACTAGTGTTTTGAATCTTAAGTGTTTCAGAATTTTTCAGTCTTATTATTGCAATGATACTAAACACTGTATTTTTTTTATTACGTTTTTTAAACAAAAGTTCAATAGCTCCATAAACACGGGCAGTTTGTTGTCCTTGTGATTTATATAGATTGTAAAGGGTTACATTAGGGAAGACTGTAAACTTGCTCTGTTATTAACCCTTCCCACACTCTCCCAGGTGATATGAATTGGTCATAGTTTTTTGGTTTTTGTTTTGTTTTCCCGTAGATTCGGAAAGCTTTTAGATTGTTACTATATGTGGAGTAAAATCTGGGGAAAAAGTTTTATTTACATCTCAGTTCGAGATACAAAGCCACTGTGTTACAAATTTTTAATTTCCAAGGTAATCCACACTGAGGATTTTCTGATTTATACTTTGTATTTAGCTATGTTTTTATATTTAAAAATGGAAAACATGTTCTGCTCTTATTCACATAAAGCTCAATTTGATATTTGTTTAAATGTCAAAAATGTGCTAAATTATTTAAAATGCCATATAATTGCACAATTTCATGTATGTACTTAATCACGTTCATGTGTATTTAAATGAGTTAACTCCGAAATCATTTGGCTGGTTATTTGCTCCTTTTTGTAGTTGTAAAATAAGAAGTTTAAATGTAAGTCTAAATTGAAAATGATCACATTTAAAGCCTTATCTTTGCGCAGTCGAAGTCTATGTGAGACCTCCCTGCTGGCATACTTTGAGCTGGTACTCAGGGTTTTAGAAGCCATTGTTTCCGGCTTGGTGAGTGAATTACGAGATCCACTGCTCTGGAAAGTATCACTGGCCAAAGGACCCTGGTTATCAGTCTGATTACACTGTGTGTGTTAATATTCTCTTCTTCGGGGCTTGGTGCAATAGCGTAGTGGTTAAAGTTTTCACCTTGCACACTCAGGATTCCATATGGGCACTGGTTCTAATCCCAGCAACCCTGCTTCCCATGCAGCTCCCTGCTTGTGGCCTGGGAAAGAAGTAGAGGACGGCCCAAAGCCCTGGGACCCTGCACCCATGTGGGAGACCCAGAGGAGGTTCCGGGCTCCTGGCTTCGGATTGGCTCAGCTCCAGCCATTGCGTTCACTTGGGGAGTGAATCATGGGATGGAAGATCTTCTTCTCTGTCTCTCCTCCTCTCTGTATACCTGCCTTTCCAATAAAAATAAATAAATCTTTTGTAAAATTATGCTCTTTCTGGTATAGATTGTCATAATGGTAGGTCACATAATAAAGAGATTAAATGGTTTTAAAAAATTTTTTAAAAAGACTCCAAACACAGGGTCGAGCGCGATGGTTCAACGGCTAAATCCTCACTTGGAAGCACCAAGATCCTATGTGGGTGTCAGTGCATGCCCCAGCTGCTCCAGTTCCCCTCTGGCACCCTGCTGGCAGCCACACCGGCCCCTGGCTCCATAGAGCCCCAGGCTGGGCTGGGAGGGATCGGCCAGGACACTCACCTGAAGGTGACTTCGGGCACAAGACACTTCACCCCATTGTGGAAGGGTCGTGTGAGCGAGATGGTCTGGCTGATCTGGTCCACGGCTGACACCCTCCCCTGGTAGACACCCAGGCTCTCGCCGCAGTTGATGGACACAATGCTGCCCAGCCAGTCAGTCGCCATGCTGCTGATGCCAGGCCCCTGTGAGGAGAAGGCACCGTTCAGTCCATCCCAAGCAACACATTCTTAACTTACTTCAGTCAGTGAACACAGAGGCAGACTCCACAGCAAACACTGCTAGATGAAATGGTGCGCCTGCCAATAGGGAGCGTTATCTTACATACACAAAGCTCTTGTAACTGCTCTAAAACAATGGGAACTAGATGAAGGGCGGTACTCACCAAATAACAAATGACACACAATATCATCTGTTCATATTGTACTATAGTAAATCTGCCACCAAAATGCTTTCAAACAGAGTATGCTGCCAAAAACTGGCTTACGAAAAAATCCCTGGGAATGTTGGGGTGGCCTGTGTGGAAGCCGATGACCAATTCTAGGTATTTTTTTAAGACAGCTCTGCTCCTGAGCTCAGTTACTTTTCAATGCATACTTTGGGAGGCAGCAGGTGGTCACCAAGTCAGTCAGTCCCTGCCACTCATGACACACACACACACACACACCGCACCTGGCTTCTGCTTCAGTCCAGCAGCTGGTCCACCCACCTACACACACACACACACACACACACACACACACACACACACACACACACACACACACACCGCACCTGGCTTCTGCTTCAGTCCAGCAGCTGGTCCACCCACCTACACACACACACACACACACACACACAAAAAAAAAACCTGGCTTCAGCCCAGCCCACACACACACACACACACACACACAAAAAACCTGGCTTCAGCCCAGCCCACACACACACACACACACACACACACACAAAAAAAACCTGGCTTCAGCCCAGCACACACACACACACACACACACACACACACACACACAAAACCTGGCTTCAGCCCAGCCCTGGTGTTGCCAGCATTTAGAGTGAACCAGCAGGTGGAAGCTGTCTGTCTCTCTGCCCTTCTAACAACAAGGAAAAATCACAGCCAAGTCCTAGTGTGCATGCAGAAAAAGCACACCACTCACGCACTGCTAGTGGAAACGGCACAGGGCACAGCCACGCTTACCTAAGCGGCAGTTCACAAAAAATCCAAACCCACAGCTTGTGTATGACCCAGCAACTGCATGCCTCATCATTTATATCTTGGGAAGGAAGATATAAGCTCATACAAAAAAACCCCATGCATAAGTGGTGGATTAACAACCTACAGTACACTGATACCATACACAGCACAGCGGTGAGGAGGGGACAGCAGGAGAGTGAGAAATGCCAACTCACCCCCCAAAATTACGTTCAGTAAGATTCCATTTGTATACATTCTTGAAATGGCAAAGCTATAAAATGAAGACCAGGGGCTGGAGCTGTGGCGCAGCAGGTTAAGCCAGTGCTTGAGATGCCAACATCCCATAGCACTGTGACAGCCCTGACTCTCCACCATCCTGCTTCCAACGCAGCGCCCTGCTAAGGCACCTGTGAAGGCAGTGGATGGGCCCCTGTCACCCACAGGGGAGTCGTGGGTGGAGCTCCCATCGTCCTGGAGGCCATTTAGAGAGCGACCCAGTGAATGGAAGATCCCTTTCTGTGTCTCACCATCTCTCCTCAGGTTGTTCTGCCTTTCAAATAAATTTAAAGCAGAAGAGGGACAAAAAAAGAGAAAAGACTAGTGCTTCCAGGGACCGAGGAACGCAGGTGGGCACTGCTCTATGAGAGCCACAGGAAGGCGTGTCCTATAGCTGGACAACGTCAACGTCAGTGCATTGCATAGACACTGACAGTTCACAAGACTCAACCAACAGTACAAACCGGGAAAATACACAGGATCTTGGTGCATCACTTCTTGTAACTGCACATGGTTCTAGAACTATCTCAAAATAAAAAGCTTCATTTAAAAATTACATTAACGGGCCCAGCGCGGTGGCGCAAGTGGTTAAGGTCCTCGCCTTGCACGCCCAGGATCCCATGTGGGCGTCGGTTCTATCCTGGCAGCCCCACTTCCCTTCCAGCTCCCTGCCTGTGGCCCGGGAAAGCAGCTGAGGTCAGCCCAAAGCCTTAGGACCCTGCACCCGTGTGGGAGACCCAGAAGAGTCTCCTGGCTTTGGATCGGCATGGCATCGGTCGTTGCACTCACTTGGGGAGTGAATCATCAGACGGAAGATCTTCCTCTCTGTCTCTCCTCTCTGCATATCCGCCTTTCCAATGAAAAAATAATAAAAATAAATCTTTAAAAAAAATTACATTAACAAATGCGTGGAAACTCATACATGATCATATTAACAAAAGCAGAAGGCTCCACAACATTTACCACATTTACCTCTGGCGAGTCGGCAGCTGGTAGCTGGCTGCCACAAAGCAGCTACAGCCCACAGTATACCTGTGTTGTGGGCTAAGGAGTTGATTAGTGCTCCTTAGCCTGGGCAGGAACAGGAACTGGGCTTGTGGCTAAGAACACCTAGACTAATTGGACTCATCTGTATCCAATATCCTGCTAAATGAGGATGGGGGGAGAGTATATAAGGAGAGGTGAAGGAGCAATAAAGTGAGACTTCACAGAGACTTCCACCATCACTGGTCTCCTGTCCGTGTTTCATCCCCAGACCCTCTCCCTGCCCAGGCTCTGCTGGCCGGAGCATACTGTACACCTACAGTGAGAGAATGAAGGCTTTTCCTCATGGCAAGCGTGTCCACCCTGATCACCTGTGCTTCTATTTAACACCACCGTGCTGCAAGTCCCAGCCAGTGCAACGAAACATGTGACAGAAAGCCTAAATGCTGGACCCGAAGGAGAACTGTCTACTACCAATGACAAGATAATGTGGAGAAAATCCTCAAGAATGCACAAATATGAATTTCACCAAAGAAATGAACTCAGCAAGATCACAGACCACATGCCCAATGTGGATAGGTCATTATAACAGCAGGAAAAACCACAAGCAAAACTGTGATAGCTTAAAATGCTTGGGAATAAATCTAATAAAGCTGCTGCAACTTTAAAAGGAAAATTAGCAATGACTGCTGAGGAAACTCAGTGGACAGAGGCACTCCACTCACAGATTAATTACTGTGCTGGTGCACTGTCAATTCCCTTAAACCGACGTACGTATCAAATGTAACTAACCCCACACCAGATGGCCTTTGTGGAAAAACTGAAAAACTGATTCTAAAATGTAATACAGAAAGACAAAGTCTGTGGAACCACCCAAATGGGGGTGGTGGGAGGGAAGCACGTCTTCTCTATCACATGGCATGATTTGCTCTGAAGTTAGAGCAAGCATGACGCTCTACCCCAACTACACCCCAGACACACTGGCCTCACACTGCTCAAATCCACCCAGCCGCTGCCTCAGCGCTCCACACCAAGTCTCCCCCACACTCTCCTCCTCCCTTCCCTCCCCCCTCTGGGAACAAGTGGCTCCAGTCTTTCTTTCTGGGATCAGCCTACATGCTACCACCTTGAGACATCTCACCCGGATCCTCATCACCACTCTGCTTTGTTTCCACTGTGTATGTCACCACCCCAGAATACAGCAAAGGACCCTGTCTTATTCAGCCACCAAAACTGCCTGGAACGGGAGCCAGCACCACAGCACAAGGAGTAAAGCCACCACCTTGCAGCACCAGCATGCCAAATGGGCACCAGTCTGAGTCCCGGCTGTTCCACCTTCAATCCCACTAATGCACACGGGAAAGTAACAGAAGATGGCCCAAGTGCGTGGGCTCCTGCACCATGCAGGGGACCTGGATGAGACTCCCAGCTCTGGGTTCCTGGCTTTGGCCTGACCCAACCTCAGCTGTTGTGACCACTTGGAGAGTGAATCAGCAGACGTAAGATCTCTCCATCTCTCGCTAACTCTTTCAAATAAATAAAATAAATCTTTAAAAAAAGACTGCCTAGAATGGAAGAGGAACTCAATTTACAGTCAATGGCCGAGACTAGGCATAATAAATGTGACTGCAGTTAGTCCCTCCAAGCCAAAAGCATTTAAACACTTAGACCTAAATGTTCTCGCTCCTCTTCAAAACATTTTTAAAAACATAGCCTTTCAGGCCTGGCAGCGTGGCCTAGCGGCTAAAGTCCTCACCCTGAACACCCCAGGATCCCACATGGGCGCCAGTTCTAATCCCGGCAGCTTCACTTCCCATCCAGCTCCCTGCTTGTGGCCTGGGAAAGCAATGGAGGACGGCCCAAAGCCTTAGGATCCTGCCTCCATGTGGGAGACCTGGAGGAAGTTCCTGGCTCCTGGCTCTGGATCGGTGCAACAACAGCCATTGCAGTCACTTGGGGAGTGAATCATCAGACAGAAGATCTTCCTCTCTGTCTCGCCTCCTCCTCTCTATATATCTGACTTTGTAATAAAAATAAATAAATCTTTAAACATAAATAAATAAATAAACACAGCATTTCTTGGAGCTGGCCACTACGTGAAACCTTCCGTAATACATAAAATGAACACTTTTGGCTCAGCATAGAAGTCAGCAGAGCAGTTGACAGAAACCTAACACACACCTCAAGCACAAAGGGAAGTGCTGGCGGCTTCAGTGACACACTCAGAAAAAGAGCAGACACTTCAAGCTGTTTTCAAATATAAACTTCAGACATATGCCCACATAAAACGGGAAGTCTCAAAGAAGGAAAAAGAACAAAAAAGCACGCATGAAAGAGGATTAAAAACACATTCACATAGTTTAAAAAAAAAAAAAAAGAGTGCCCAGTAAGCACCCAAAACCCAAAAAACCCAAAAATGACCCCCACCCTTGGGGTGAATCAAACTCTGGGCCACTGTCTGTGGATCTCCTGAGCAGGTGGCCTGAGCTGGGCCGAGCTGGGCCCAGAGGGGAGAGCCTGAGGAGCCCCCACACACCTACCACCCAGTGGCAACAATCAGCAGGTCTGTCGGAATTCAAGCAGATAGAAGAGCTAGTCTCAGAAAGCCACAAGACTTGCACAACCACAACACCGAAAAAGGCACAAGGCACACGCCTCAGGCTCATTTCCCCTTCCTGGGAGCTTCACCTCACAGACACACAGGTTTCAGGGCTGGCACGGTGATGTATCAGGCTA